ATGTTTTCATATATTTGTGTTGGTTTATTTAGTGCTGTTACTAAACAGGTCAGTAGTCAAGAAATTTGAATTTAGAAAAAAATAAACTATATATATATATATATAAGTTGTATAATAATAAATACATAAAAATAGTAAATACATAAAAAGTGTTTAATTTAAACATTTATTTTTTCAATTTTTTTCATAAAGATTTTAGCTGGTTTATTATATGTTATTACTAAACTTTTACAATTAAAAAAATATGTAGAATGAGAAAAACATTAAAAAAAAAACATACAAACATTATTTATATTATGACATTATAGCTGACATGTTCTGTTAGGAAGCTTGTCTCCAGAACTCAAACATTCAAATCATCATTATCATCACACACAATATCAAAAATCCATACCATCACACACATTATATGACCACATCTTCATTCCAGAACATGCTGCATGATAGCACTGAAGAAATAGTTTGAGGACATTTTTCATTTTACAAGACTTCATATAGTCAAAAGATTCACCCAACTGTGTGTTTGCTTTTGTGTGTTCAGGTGGTGTGGCGTAAGCTCGGTGATGCAGCAGGATCCAAACCCTCCATCCGCCAACATCTCTCTGGGAACCAGTTCAAAGGCCCTTTGTAGCTTCCATGTCAATGACCAGCAGGGCCTCGAACAAACAAACAAATCTGTGAATATGACAGGAGGAACAGACAGTCTCAGAACTGGGCAACTTCGGGAAACCACACAAAGAACTTTGCTTCTACTGCCAGCTCCTTTCAGCCCATGGCATTCAGTTGAGACATTTCAAACCTATTACTTATGATGCCAGGTGGTAGTTAAATACATAATAGACTCACAATTAGCACAAGCTAAATCATAGCTCTATTTATGTGCACACCATCCAAGTATTCATACAAGGCAGCTTAATGGATTCATTTCTCGTTCCAGATAAGGAATGAAAGCACACCCCTCTTACGCAGATAAATACTCCATGGAGATACTCCTACAGGATATATCCTTTCCACTCCTAAAAGCTTTTTGATTTTGGCATAAGACCACTCCATATTATTCAAAGATTTGTTTTTACCTTTACACTACCGTTCAAAATTTTGGGTTGTAAGATTTTTTTTAATGTTTTTGAAAGAAGTCTCTTATGATCAGCAAGGCTGCATTTATTTGCTTCTACATACAGTGAACGTAATATTGTAATAATGCAGTAATATAGTGAAATATTATTACAATTTAAAATAGCTGTTCTGTTTTAAAATGAAATATATTCCTGTGATTTTCAGCAGCTATTACTCCAGTCTTCAGTGTCACATGATCCTTCAGAAATCATTCTAATATGCTGATTTGATGTTCAAGAAACATTTCTTATAATTATCAATGGTGAAAACAGTCGTGCTGCTCAGTTGTGGAAACCATCAATGAATAGAAGGTTCAAAAGAACAGTAATTATTTACAATTGAAATCTTTCATTTTCTGCTACATTTAATGCATCCTTGCTGAATAAAAGTATTATTTAAAAAAAAAAAAAATCTTACTGACCCCAAACTTTCAAACAGTTGTTGTATATATATTTTTGACTTGAGCCACTCCCATCACATCAGAATTATCATTACAATTAAACTCAAACAAGAATCATGTTACTTATAAATTTACCAGCCATTGATTATTAACAAGTTCTATTCATTCATCAGTGTTAATTATGGACCATTAACAACATAGCTGAAAAACAAAACATAACAGTAAACCTTTTAATGAAAAACAAGTCTTTATTTCACGAATAACATATTTTCTAAGTTTCCCAGAAATGCATATTCTAAAATAATACTGTATACTTTGTGAATAAATTCTATTACCTGGAAATATTCAAAGGATATACGCAGGCCAGCTCACGAGTTTAAGCATTTAATTCAAATGTTTTTTTTTCCAAACAGTTCTTATAAATGCCAGCTCATCTCAAAGCATATTACTTTAAGTTCCAAATTGACAATCGTGATTAATGAAGCTGCTTTCTGTGACTTCATTTGTAATTAAACAAATGAAAGTAGATGGAGTCAAAATTCAATATCAATATCTTGTAATGTGTCCCAATGCAGTGCTTTTGATTGCATATGAGTCCTTATGGATTTGTGTGGTCGTAATATAATTAAAAGTACTGATAAGGGAATAGTTAAGCCAAAAATGAAAATTTGTTGAAAACGAACTCACCCTCTAGCCGTCCAAGATGTAGATGAATTTGTTTTTTCATCCGAACAGATTTGGAGAAATTTAGCATTGCATCACTCGCTCACCAATGAATCCTCTGTAGTGAATGGGTGCCGTCAGAATGAGAGTCATTGCAATGGTTTAAAGTTAAAATGCCTTAATAATGGATTTGTTTCTTACAAACAATCAACGTTTTGCTTCACAATATCGTGTGAATTATGATGTTTTTATCAGCTGTTTGAACTCTCATTCTGACGGCACCCATTCAGTGCAGAGGATCCACTGGTGAACAAGTCATGTGATGCAAAACTTCTCCAAATCTGTTCCAATGAAGAAAGAAGCAAACACATATACATCTTGGATGGCCGAGTGTGAGTTAATTTTCAGCAATATTTCATTTTTGGCTGAACTATTCCTTTAAATCTGTTTTAGGTCTACAAATTGAGTTCTGTATGAAAAGAACTGGAACTGTATTTCAGGTTCTAGATACTGAATAGGTGCAATAGAGAAACTTTGTGCTGGATGAATGCAAGTATGGAAGTGATTTGTGTTTTCTGTTTAGCCTGAGGTTTCATCAGTACACTATTTCAAAAAGCATTTTAATGTCGTAATCTGCGATCGATCAGAGCATGTAAAGTACCTCAGCCAGTCACACTTTCCATTATTCCTTTTACCAAGCTTAACATTTCTGCTTAAACTGAATGAAATCAGACCATGCATTATGTGTTGATGAAAACTGGATCAGTTGTAAGGTTTGCATTATTAATAATAAGCTTCTTTTGCTGAATTTTGTGTAAAGCGTCTAATTCTGCTCCATAGGCCTAGTTCATGAGACCGACAGGCAACGTCTTTTATGTGCTTATTGTAGCCTACATGATATATAGCGCAGTCTTATGAATGAAAGTAAATGAGAAAGCAGTAAATGAGATGTCTTTTGAGTTTTATGTATTATAATTCAGATTCATTATCTGTGTACACAAGAACGGTCTCAAAAGATGCTTGCTGCATTCCCACAAAAAGCTCTTTTTTTTTAAAAACCAGTGACCCGATAAGCCATAATTTTGTATTGTTTGTTTAAATCAAAGCTATTTTGAGCATTGCCGAAATCCCTCTGCCGGTCTAGTTATTTTTGTATTAAAGTTGTGTGGCTATTTCATTGAAATTGTATATTTATGAGAGCACTTTCGTATTGGATGTTTTTTTTTTTCACACTGGATGCAGCAGGTGGCTTTTGGCGGTGTTACGTTTTTTTTTGTTTTTTTTTTGTCTGATGTTTATGCGAACAAAATGAGCAGAAAACATTTGAATAAGTAAAGAAAATAGTTGCATATTTTTATGAAAAGGATACGTTATGAATTTGGGTCTGTAAAACAGTGTGTGCTGTTAACAACACAGTGAAATTGTCTCTGCTATGCTGTGAAGTGTTTCATGTGAACACAATACCTAAATCATTGGTGTTGAACTACACGCATACATTAAAACTATTTTTGAAATCCAATTGAAAGTGTCCTTTATAAACAGATCGAGAATACACAACTACTGACGTTTTTGTATTTGTTCAGTTTAAAGCACAAAAGAATCTGCAATGCTGATATTTTCCTATTTTCTTTTCAAATGCACTGCTTCTTTTGTGAATAAGGATTTGATGTTTGAATCACTCATGAAATTCAATGTTCTGTGTAGCTCATCTGTATGTGAAACACATGAAGTTGTATTCTAGGACATACAATTCAGCGCAATGTAAATAACTACTATTACTGTAGAATACCTGTAACTAGCATGCGTTTATATTTTAATAAGCTGTATGTAGCTGAGAATGGACCTGTATTTTAGCTAATAAAAATTCTAAATAAATTGCAAATAACCCACTTGTAGATTTGAAATAAAACAATCCTTCTCTTTGTATAAAGTGTCGTCTCCTTTTTGAGTTGAAATGAACAGTAGAAAAAAGGCAGAGTCTGCCATCTACTGGAGGTTTGCTGGAGTTGAATGACTTGAGTTTTTGTCTTTTCCAGCAAATGATCAGAGAAATGAGGTGCTTAACCTTCAGAATATGTTATTTCCCAACCCTAGAAGGTCAAATTAAATATTGTATGAGCTGTTTTATTCTTAATTCATTCTATACGAGGTTGCCCATTTTCCAACCCTGTATTAAATTTACGCAAAAAATGTGTTCTCCTACATGCTCACAATTTGTAAATATATAAAAATATAAATGTATGAAGTCAAAAAGAGAAATGATACATTGTAAAGTGGTATAAAAATACGAATAATTGATTTATTAAAGTATTAACTATTATTAAACACATTATAAATCACATTAAAACACAATAGAAATTATAAATGGTTTACAACAATATGTTATATGCGTTACGTTTTACATGTTGTGGCTATGATTGACGGTTTCCTCCGCGAATCACGTTGCGCAGACTTTATCCTTTTACGGTCACTTTATGAACCCAAAGTAAACTTCCAATCACAAGGCACACAAGCCTTTTCTGTGGTGTAGTCAAACCAACCTTGTAAATCTGACCGTACGGCATCGACTCCTCTCACTACCAGTAAAGTCACTGCAAACGGGTACCGCCTTAACGCGAACCAATAGATGCGTACAGTTTAGCGATGTGAAATATATTTACGCTTTAACCAATTATCTCACACGTAAGCAGTTGCGTGTGGAACATTACCCAATTACAATACGCTTCTGTACAAGTTTAAGGCGGGACAAACGCAACAACGGGCCAATCCCCTTTTTGAAAATTGTATTAGGGCGTGGCTTTGCCACTGAAGTAAAGTTAGGTTTTACCAGCAGCGCGAGCAGAAGAGGATTGAATTCCAGGTTGACGGGAGGATCCGTACAGTCAATTGGAAGGTAGTTTTGCTGTTCAATCTGATTAAATAATGTTTGCAAATGTGCACGAGGTGTTTATGATAGCTAAACGTCATATAATAAGCCACATGCCTGCAAATGCGTCGCAAATGTACGCTATGAAGGGTGTGTAATTCAACAAATTGCGAAATACAAGCATGCTGTTTATTAACACATTGAATGTGTCTCAAAATCTTGTGAGCAGCCTACTTGGGAGCATATCTGGGCGTGTTTAAAGCGTTCAGTACGCTCCCAAAAATGTTGTTGAACGTTTAAAATACAGTATTAACGTTTCAAATTTGCCTATGATGCCCTAAAATTATAATGTAGTCAACTAACCAGGTTTTGAGACACTTGGGCCATAGACAGACAGACAGACATATAGGTGAATGGATGTAAATATGAATGAATGAATGAATGTATGGATTGTATGTTTCTTGAGGTATTAATTCATGCATTTGGATAATTCATGATCACTGGACCACCCAGTGTTTAAAATGAAGACTGACATGCAGTGCAATAGTGTGTGATGTGAAGCAGGTGATCATCTACTGGTGGGTTTGAATGAATGCATTGGGCCAAGCGGAGTTATTTTAAGGCACCAATCTGCTTAGATCATTATCTAATATACTGATCTCGTATTTTGAATTTTGATATGTACAATTTATGTTGTTTGTTGCATGTCTTTTGCTATCTAATGCTGTCAGCCAGTATAGTTGCAGTGCCGCTGCTGGTGGTTCTCTCTTAAGTAGCTTACTTTTAAGTGTTTCAATCCAATTTGTTCAGTTCAGTAATACAATTGGGCCTGTCATTGTTTAGTAAACAGTTGGCTTGGGGTATTTGATGGACATATCCATGGTCGAAATATTGGCAGCTTATGTATTCGTCTCTGAGAAACAGCATTTTAAATAAATAAAATGGTCCAAATCATGTTTTTTTCTATATTTTTGATTTATTAATGAGTGATTGCTATCATAACAACAACAAAAAAGATTTCAAGACTTATGGTTTACTAGGCCTATATGCTATTGTGCGTTGCCCAAATTTGTACAGTTAGAGCAGCCAGACCGTTTTTGAAATATGGGAACAGCTGCCATAGGAGTCATTATTAAATTTAACTGCATGGAAGTTTTATGTTAATGACACAAGTTTGTTGTATTTGATGAGTTTCATGTAAGCCACGTGTTCAGTGTTTACAACAAAGTACCTGATTTAGTGCCCTTTGGCTCACTGTAGCCATCCGTATAATCCCTCACAGAGACCATTAACCTTTCTTGGCAGTAATTCTAGGTTCAGAGATTATTTGGATGTGAAACATTCACATGTTTCTAACATTTCGTTATGAATATACTGTACCTAATCCACGGGACCTAAATATTTATAAGAGGTGTAAAGTCAGTACTTCTCAGACTATTGGCTCATTTATTGTACAGCCTTCTAGGTTGCATGAAGCAGATATGAAACCTGGTCATGTTGTAGCTTGATTTTTACTTTAATTTTTACTCTAATTAAATATAATTAAATTAAATTTGTTTTTATTCATTTTGTTGCTTTCAACTTGCTATTATTACAGCCATCCTCTCTCCCAGACCAGTAAGATGGGTAAAAAGAGTCGAGTGAAGACCCAGAAATCAGGGACCGGGGCCACAGCTGCGGTTTCTCCGAAAGAGATGATGAATTTAATCTCTGAACTGCTGCAGAGTGAGTAGAAAGCATTATGGCTGCATTCTTGTTCTGATATACTGTTGGATGAATTACTCTCATGAGGAGCAACACTGTGCATCACTGGTACACAAAAGTCTTTTGTGATTATGCCATAATCGCATCACATGATTGTTATAATATTTGTTATGGCAAAAAAGTATGCAGCTGGATACTGAAAATTGAGCCTCTTTAGTTAGAATGGTTTCTTTATGTTTAAGAAAATCTATTTAGTATTTAATAATCTGACGCTTTTATCCGAATGGTGCCACCTGAGGTTAAGTGCTCAAGGGTATGGTGGTATTTCATGGAATCATTTGGTTATCAGTCCAAATTTGTAACTACTGTGTCAAATAGCTCTTTGAATTTGCGTGTCTCATTTTAGGGAGGACATGCACTTGTTTATAATAAAGACTGTCCTTTATATTAAAGGATTTAGAAAAACTGTGAATGCCACAATTTTCACAAAAGCAGCTTTTAGAAGACATAAATCAGCCAGCATTTGGTTACCCCAGGAAATGTACTTAAAGGAATAGTTCACCCAAAAATGAAAATTTGCTGAAAAGTTGTTTTTTTGCATTGGAGCAGATTTGGAGAAATTTAGCATTACGTCGCTTGATCACCAATGGATCCTCTGCGGTAAATGGGTGCCGTCAGAATCCAAACAGTCCAAACAGCTGATAAAAACATTACAATAATCCGCAAGTAAACCACACAACTCCAGTCCATTAATTAACGTCAAAGCGAAAAGCTGTGTGTTTGTAATAAATAAATCCATCAAGATGTTTTTAACTTCAAATTGTTGCTTCTGGCTAAAATGCAAGTCCTCTATCCATAATATTGCTTTCTCAAGTGAAATGCACAGCTTTTCATTTCACAAGATGTTAATTGATAGATTGGAGTCATGTGGATTACTTGTAGGTTGTTTTTTTAGCTGTCGGTTATTCTGACGGCACCCATTCACTACACAGGATCCATTGGTGAGCAGGTGATGTAATGCTAAATTTCTCCAAATCTGTTCTGAATCTGATGTAGAAATAAACTCATCTACATCTTGGATGACCTGAGCCCCCATAGTCAATCATTGTGTTTTGTTAATATAAGCATAAGTGATTGTTAAATATAAACTTATTGGAATGTTTTTTATTTTCTTTCTCCCATTCAGAGTGTAGCAGCGCTGCTCCCTCTCCTGGGAAAGAGTGGGAGGAATATGTTCAGATCCGAGCTCTGGTGGAGAAGATCCGTAAGAAACAGAAAGGTACACAGTTGCTTCATATTAATATGATTTAGCAGTTTTGAAGCTTTTACGTAGCATGGTTTGCCTTGTGATTTGCCATTGTCCATTTTTAAGGAGTAAAGTATTAAACTGTCCTAGTTGCAATAAAAAAGAGGTCGGAAAAAAGCAGATGGTGTGGAACACCCAGATGTGAAATTAATTCTGCAATGACGGCACCCATTCACTACACAGGATCCATTGGTGAGCAGGTGATGTAATGCTAAATTTCTCCAAATCTGTTCTGAATCTGATGTAGAAATAAACTCATCTACATCTTGGATGACCTGAGTTTAAGTAACTTTTCAGCAAATTTTCATTTATTTTTGGTGAACTATTTCTTTAATATGGAGCACTAAGCCGTTTCCCCCATAGTCAATCATTGTGTTTTGTTAATATAAGCATAAGTGATTGTTAAATATAAACTTATTGGAATGTTTTTTATTTTCTTTCTCCCATTCAGAGTGTAGCAGCGCTGCTCCCTCTCCTGGGAAAGAGTGGGAGGAATATGTTCAGATCCGAGCTCTGGTGGAGAAGATCCGTAAGAAACAGAAAGGTACACAGTTGCTTCATATTAATATGATTTAGCAGTTTTGAAGCTTTTACGTAGCATGGTTTGCCTTGTGATTTGCCATTGTCCATTTTTAAGGAGTAAAGTATTAAACTGTCCTAGTTGCAATAAAAAAGAGGTCGGAAAAAAGCAGATGGTGTGGAACACCCAGATGTGAAATTAATTCTGCAATTTTCTTGTGCTTATGACTTTTTTCTGGGTTAATGAGAAATTATACAGAATGTCTTTGAAGATCTTTTCCCGCACAATGCAAGTGAATAGAGATGGATCCTGTAAATCTTCAAACCTGTCATAGAAGAACAATAAAAGCCATCAATATGGCTCATGCACTATTTTTCGATTCTTTTCAAGCCAAATGATAGCTTGGCCATTTGTTTTTGACCTGTTCATTTTGCTATAAAAATGTTTCGGAACAACATGAGGGTGAATAAATAATAGCTTTTTTTGGTTCTTTTAAGAGAAACATAAGAGTATGAGAAGTCTAATCAGCACAAAAGATGGCATGTTACACATTTATTTATCTGATAGAATGACTATAATATGCTCATACACAGTAAGTTATTGTACTGTGGCAGACACCGAAATATCTTCGGTTACATGACTTGATTAAGATCCTATCACATTACTTAATAAAATACTCAGTGGGAGTCTCAGAGGTGTACATTAGAACACATAAATATCCATTAGAATAAATGTTAAATGGCACATTATGCAGCAGGATACACAAGAGTAATAGGTAGCACCGTTTAGGTCCACTTGTGTGGTTTTACAGTAACATAATACAGTAGAGTGCCGTAGAATAATGGAATTCATTACCAGAGAAAACTTCTCACGCTGATGTTCAGTATACATACAATAGCTAAATTAGCTAATGCTGGGATAGTATTATTTCCTCAGGGATGTCAGTATCATTCGAGGGAACCAGGGAGGACTTTTTCTCTGAGCTGATGACCTGGGGTGCAGAATGCGGGGCTTCTTGTGACGGTTTTGAGATCTCCAACTTTGCAGATGAAGGATATGGCCTGAAGGCCGCCAGAGATATCAAGGTTGGTCTCTTTCTCAGCTAGCCCAGGGATTGTTTGATGGTAAAATGGATAAAAGTCTATTTTAGTTAGACTTTTTAGACTATTTTAGTTATACAGTATGTCGGATACATCATTTTTTATCTGGGTTTATTGTTTTTACAAGTTCAGTTCTTGCAGCACCTTTAGGGCCTTTCGCATCGTGGGAACCTTTTCATATTACCAGAACTAATTGTGGAACTACCCACTTTTTGGCGTTTTCGCACCGCCGGAACTGGGTGCTCTAAATGGGCTGTTCCTCGCCAAAATAAGCTGCAATATGAACCAGATCTCATGCTGGTAGTCTTTCTGGCATCAAGCACTTGTGTATTATCGAGATTCAGTCCATTGTGCGACATGCTGGCTTTTTCTGCCACCTACACCTACAGCAACTCATCTTATATATTGGTTGTAGATACAGTAGATGGTAATTATTTGTGTGGTACTTCTTAATGGTCAGTGACCAAGGGGTAATTACAGGTGTGTATATGTATTGATCATAGCTGTTTTCACCATCATCCTTGTTAATGCTTTAGAAGGGAATATATAGAGGTTATTGATCACTGCACATCATACTTACCTTTACATACTTGTGACTTGATTGAGTCAATGTTCAGATGGTTTTGAATGGCTGCTACAGATAGTCTCATTGACGTTTTCAGTTGCTTTTGCTAATTGCTAGATATAAAATGCATTTTTAAGATGCTATTTAAAAAAATTGGAATTTGAATGTGTCATGAAGGGACTAGCCCTGTAATTAAACTAAATTTGTATGTAACGTGTTCTGTCCATTTCAGGCAGAGGAGCTGTTCCTGTGGATCCCTAGAAAAATGCTGATGACTGTAGAATCTGCCAAGAACTCTGTCCTTGGTGAGTTTGCATAGTTATAGCAATGTCAATCTTTGACCTCAAACTCTGACAATGACATGTCACATCTCTCCCCACAGAGAAAATGGAGACCACATTTATATAAATGTTACTTTATTGTTCCAGGAATGCTAAATACAACTTTTAACTCTGTCGACAGCATCTGTGACATGCTGTTGATTACCACAGAAAATTTATTAGACTTAAAAAAAAAAAATTCATGTAATATTTATGTTTTGCTTCAGCTTTATTTCAATTACTGAAAACTATTTTTGATAGTTTTAGTTAACAAAAACAACACTGGTTAGAACACTGATATGGTTTTCTGAACTGTCTGCACAATGCTACATTTTGAAAATGGTACCAACTGTACTGTGGTTTACATGACCTGATATGAACTCCTTTAATTCTCCTCAGTGTGGTTCCTGCTTGCACTCTTAGGCTTTCAAACATACAAAGCTTTCAGCTCAATTACACAGGTCCAAAGCAAAACCTAGTGTGATAGCAAAAGTGAAAAGAACCTTAGTTGTGTCTAGAAAACATTTGAACATTTTCACAGACTGACTCCTAAATTCACCTTTTATTCACAGGACTGCTGTACAGCCAAGACCGGATCCTTCAGGCCATGGGCAATGTGACTCTGGCTCTACACTTGCTGTGTGAACGGGCCAATCCCAGCTCACCTTGGCTGCCCTACATCAAGACCCTGCCTGCTGATTATGACACACCCCTGTACTTTGAAGAGGAGGAAGTGCGCCACCTGCTGGCCACACAAGCCATACAGGACGTACTCAGTCAATACAAAAACACAGCACGGCAGTATGCCTACTTCTACAAAGTCATCCATGTAAGTCACACAGATTCTCTCTTAATTGTTGGTGTATATGTGTGTGTTAATATAAATTAATTGATGTTTTCCCCCCAACTGATTCATTTAGCTAGGTTTTAAATTTCAGGGTGTCCGCGGGGTCTTAAAAAGTATTAAAAGTTGATAAATCAATTTAGAGAAAATTAAGGCCCTTAAAAAGTCTTAAATGGCATTTTCCAAGGTATTAAATTTTGTATCATCTTTTCATTATGTATATTTGTCCGAATAGTGGCTCCCACGATTTTTGTGTCCGCTCCCGCAAACATTCTAATATTGTATATAATTTTCGCGCATCAGGGCGCCGCTATCAATATGTGGGGTATTTAAATCCCATTTGAATGAGCGCTCTCGGTCGTAGTTCACTTTCGATTTCGCGATCGCCCGCGCACTTTGTAAAGGGAGCACATCCTACGATAAAAGATATTTGTTAATGAGCTCGGGATCTGTTGAGGAGCAAATCCTCCAACGTCTTGTCAGTTATCTCTCCTTACTTTTGACCCGTGATTAGTCAAATCTGACTTCTGCAGCTCGTGTTGGATGCAGGGTTGTTGTTTTTTTCCACGAAATTGGGCTGCTTTTAAACTGTTGCCATATGGGTTGATTTTCCCCAGTGGGTTAAAGGTTTGAAATATTGCATAACCAGCCCTATTGGTTAGTCACTCAATTAATTATTGTGCTTCGTTCCCCCCTTCTGAATTATGTTGCATTGATAAGGAGTTATCACAAAGTCTGTTTAGTTGCGCTTACAATCAATATATAGTAAATGTAAGTTAAAGTGTCGCCGATGTAACCGATTAAAACTGGCGATGAGGTCTTAAAATGTATAGAAAGAGTCTTAAAAAAAGGTCTTAAAAGGTATTACATTTAACTCCATGATTCCTGTATATACCCTGAATTTAGAGAGTGACAAATGAAAACGTGACAGTAAAAATCTTAACTGAATTAATTTATTTTACTGCCAAAAACATTTTTACATGTATAAATGCATTTTTAAAAAAACATCAAATTAATTTAAAGCCTTTTGTTTATGGAAAATGCAATGTGGTGTGATTGTGACTTTTTTTTTATATAGTTTAAATCAGACACTTTTGCCTTCTGCATACTGTTTTACACATATTTACATTTACCTAAATAACCCTATGAGGTTAATGTAGGTCTAACTTAAGCATCTAGTCTCCTTTTCAGCTATAGATATCCCTGAATACACCACAAAAAGTGCACAAAACTTTCTTCTGTTGACTCCTAGAGTTGTGCTCATATTTTGGCAGTTTTGATGAGTGCGGTGACTGATAGCCCTATCTGTATCTCATACATGGACTGCCAGCCGTTTTGAGTGCAGGGCTCTTTAAGCAATCAGTGCCACAAGTTATTCAGACTCTCTAGCCACATGAATGGCTGTCCTTTACACTGCTGTCTGCTGAGGTGAGGAAATCCAGTTTTAAAAGGATCCCTGCCGTTGAAGGCACATTGGAGATGGGTAAAAGGAGCTTTATAATGCCCTCTTGCACCCAATTTCAGGGCCCATGATAAGCTGCCATTGACATGGCTCAGAGACAGTGCCACAGTGGCAATCTTTGGCCAGCAGGGGGAGATGTTTATCCCTTAATGTAGTGTTCAAAGCAAAACATGAGCATGAATTAGTTTGCTTTTAAATTACAACATGCATGTGCAAAATTGTTAGATTTGGTGTTAGAAAAGACTATGATATGCCAAATGGTATGATACTTTTTACTCTGCTTTAATAAGGAACTATAGAAATTTACTTCTAGACTAGAATATCTTCTTATCTCATATGCTTGTTTCCACAATTCAAACTAAACCGTAATCAGAAATGTTGAGTTTTGTTTTTAAATAAGTCCAGTGAAATATCTGTGCTTAATATTCAGTGGTAGCCTAACTCTTAAGTTTTAAAACGCACATTCTTTCCACTTTGGTTACAAAAAGTGCATTATATGACCATAAAATGGAATTTCAGTGTTGTGATGAAAATCTTGAATATGCAGATTTATGATTATTAAATGACACATTGAGATGGCAGTTCATTTCAATTGGACGTAATCTGTCCAATAAATTTTATCCCGTTTCTTGGACCACCTCTTGGCTATTAAGGAAGCAATAATATGCTCTTCCAGTTCTCCCCAATTTTCATTCAAAATCTCTGCCGGTACATTTTGTTTCTTTCATTAGATGACTGTCAATTAGGGAAAAGAAACTAATATTTCACATTACTGTCAAGATAAGGCATCAAATATTCATGCAAATAGTTAATGTATTTGTCATTTTGTCTGCAAATCTGCTGACATTTTTTTTATTAAATGTTTTCTAGTTTATAAAAGGGGGTTGGAGTGTAATTAGGAGCAGTATTATTGTTTCTCGTACTCCGTTAATAACTTTAATCAAGTGTATTTATACCGTTTTCTATACAACGACTGAGACAAATAACAGGAAACACAATAAACTGGAATATATGTATCTTCTACTTTAAGCCGTCGGCATCAGTCATCAAAAAGTTAATCAATTTGCATATGCAGTGAACGTTTTATTGTCCATTAGGTGGCAGAAGTGAGTTAAGCTTCTAAAGATACGGGTCTAAATTAAACAAACTTGGTTAAAGTTTGTATTGCTAAAATAAAGCTGGAGGACCTCATGACCTATTGATGTAATGAATTACACACTGATCGCACTTTTTAATGAACAAAGATTCATTCTGCGTGCATTCGAGTAGGAGTTCGGAGAGAAATGAACATGTAACTTTTTTTTGCTCATCTAAAGCTCTGTATTTTTTTTTCTAGAGAGGTTCAGTTGAGGGGGGAGGGTTGTCTTGCTGGCCCTTCGGTGAGTGTCCTGTCCGCTCCTCTCCTCTCTGCTCTTCAGGTTGGGAGCCAGTGTCACTGTAATGACTACTGTCAATGTCAGCCTCTCTTCTGAGGCGGCCGCAGATGACCGGGCTGGAAAATTAGCTTGTCGCATTGGCTTTGAATTGAATTGACCTGATTGTACCTTCCACACATGACTGACAACCCCAGCATCCCCCCCTTCTTCTGCTTCCTCCCACCGCCTGCTTTATCTGGTCCCTGCCTCCCCCCTCCTCCCGGCTTCTTCTCGGGAAGAACTGAGAAAGCAAGGCCCTTCACCTGCTGGAATTGAGGAGCTTTTTATATATATATTTGCCTCCGTGAAGAGGGATAGGCTGTTGTCAATGCCGGGTGCCCTCCGAGGAGTATCAGAGCGCCTCCCGTGTCCGCGGGGGACCAATGATAGCCGCGCATTCCTCGCTGGGGCTGGATGCGTGTGTGTGTGTGTGGGGGAGGTGAACCTCATAAGGTGACCCCGGTATGCAGCGAATGCAAAGTAACCTTGGTGTGCTGCATCTGCTGCTGTTGATGAGAAATGAACAGGGTCCCAGTGGTATGCTCTAATCCCACCCCCTCTCTCTGACCTTCCTGATGCAGATCGGAAAATAAGGGAGAGTTTGCGATGTTGAACGACGACGTTCGTTTCATAATTTTTATGCACAAAGTCGAATGTTGAAACAGTCGACGTAACGGAAGTAAGGACTAAAATCAATCCCGTTTGAACCTCAGCATGCGCACGGATGACGAGCTCTCTAATGTCGGCCAGTGCGGCGGATGGGGTGCTTGGGGATCTCGGCTCCAGAAAGACCTCCTGGAGGCCACCGGCCAATTAGCCGCATTTCCCGCCGTCCTCGTTAAGGAGAGCAGGCGCTCGTGGTGGGAGCTTTTGTTTTCTAATTGATTTACAGGGCTGTTCCCCCCTCGTCTCTCTCTGAGCCGCGGTGCCATTGTGGCACATGATGAATTACCTCTCTCTGGTGATGCTAATGCATCACCAGCTGAACCTGCAGCGGTGCAGCTGCCCTTTATCTCCAAAAACTACACCTCATCAAATGTGCCGTCTCAAACTACCTCTGTATGTGCGTACATCCTACATTTTTCCAGACTAGAGGCCTTATCCTAACCCACAGTGCTCTGAGGGATCCGGGCAGAACTCTTCATGGCCTTTCTGCAGCCCTTCCCCCTGAGGTTTATCACTCTGTTCAACTAATTATTGCCTTAATTGAATCTATTAAGGTACTCGGGCACTCGAGTATTCCGTTCTCAGAGGGCTGAAAATATCATTAATGGCACTTTAACCCTTTTCAGGTGGCCTATAATGGTTACTGATGCTCAAAGATGCCTCAGCACATCTTCTTACAGGAAGTTTGGAGAACTGCTTGAGACTCTCTGGAGATTTGCCCTATTACTTCCGTCAAAACCTGTAATATGCTGCTTTTTTTCCCCCTCCCATCCTTACATGAACCACTTCCCTTCATCTGCAGTGTGAGGCTCAAACCCAAGTCACTGAATTCTTACTTGTTGGCTTTACCCAATGCTTATCTTTTAATGGTTGTCCATCACCCTACGTGAGCGCTGCTACCAAGTCAGCCTGTTGCCAGAATTGGGGTTAAAATGAAAGGAAGTGGACAGGCTTTTCTCTGTTATTATATCGTGCTTTACGAATTCACAGCTGACCTGTAGACCTTCATCCACCTGAGCGTGTTAGACCTTTGCCTGGTTGCTCACAGTGAAGTACAAGTTCTTATGCTCTGCTGTAGGGCTACAACAATGTCAAAACTGGACTGTACTCTTCCGACACACTGAGTCACAGGTAAAGATATGATGTGGCCACATGGTTTCACCGTCTTCGCTAAGTGTGTGTGGGTTCTAGAGCAGCGAGGGGGAATACAGGGCTCAATTAGTGTCAGAGAAGTTGATTAATGGGGAGAGACGTGGAAGATAAAAGTTAGCCACTACTTCTGAGCGCTTGCATTTCATGCTTTTATTCCTCAGTTTGCGAGCCTAATGGTGCAACTTGGTTGACAGAAGGAGTTTGCGCCCCCTTTCCAGTAAGCACACATACGTCTCTGAGACATCTGTGAAGGAGCGCATTACCTGGAAACCTTCGCATTGTATTTGAAAGGATCCTTCAAAAAAAAAAACTGTCATTAACTCACCTTGTTGTCATTCCAAACCTGTATGACTTTTTTTTCCATGGAACACAAAAGGAGATGGTATGCGGTGTTCATTCTGCTCTTTTCCATACAACAAAAGCTTGTAGCATGAATTTAAAAGCACCATAAAAGAAGTCTTCTGATGTCATGCAATAATGACAAACATTATAATTTATATTACTATTCACTGAATTTTTTTGTACTGTTCAAGCTTAATGAGTCTTGATTGGTTACTGCAGGGATTCCCCTTTTTTTTGTGTCAGCGGAACCTCTTTGAACTAAAATATTTACTAGTATTTAAAGTATCCCCTGAGATTTTATGTTAATATTTTAATAATTTAACAAAATATTCACGTTCACGGTTCTTTGTTTGGTTAATTGCCACATGACATGCAGGTAAACTAATAAAATATTTCATTTTGTGTGGAAAGTGTTATTTAAAAAAAAAAAACATTATTATTATTTTTTTTTTTTTTTTTTTTTATTTTTTTTTTTTTTTTTTTTTTTTTAATCATTTAATTATCAGCTTTTCATCAAGCCATGGTCAGTTGTTTGTCATTTGAGAATGACATTTTCAAACAATTGCTGGATGTTGATTTAACATTCACTGTAACGGATTAGCTATGTTGAGCAGAATCTTTAAAAAAAAAAAAACTTAGTTGAAATCTTCATGTCGCAGATATGTTTTTATTAAGGACGTTATTTTGTATTCAGATCTGTAAGTGATTTGTCTTTTGAAGTCTGCCAAGTTCACTTTTTCTTTTGTTGTTTTGGTTCCAGTGTCTGTTGGGCAATTTTATCACTCATTTTGTGTCGTGATTATGATATTCGAGCACAAGCTTTTTGATGTATTGTGTTATATACATATCAGCACCATTACGGTTTGCACGGTACCTCATTGTGGAGTACAGTGCTTCATTTCACAGGACAAACGCCACACACACAGCCGTGAGAGCACCTGTGGGGGAAAAGAAGAATATCCTTCACTCTCAGCTTCATACCTACGTCTATTTTTATGGCTCATTTTGCATGTTCAGGAGGGTGCTACGGGCCGGCTGAATTAGACCCTGGCATTCTTTGCTCCCTACTTTTTTTTTCTTTCTACGGGATTGTAGCTTTTTTTTTCCCTCTCCATGACACCCGCTGCAAATGAGCCCTTGGAGGGAGCGAGTCTGTGGCTTTAAATGTAGATTTCTGTGGCACCAGTGGCTCTCTGTCACACAAATTGATGAAGCAGATTTATGACGGCTGCTGGGCACAACAAATTAAGTTGACAGTGATGTATGGGGGGCTAATGCCACCATGATCCTTGCATAGCACCACTGGACGCTCTCTGCCTGGCTACACTCTTGTTAGGATCTGTTAGGCAGCCACATAATGAAATTCCACTGACTGATTTGTGTTTTTTTTTTTTTCTTTCTTGCTCTCTCTTTCTTTCCTCCTTTCCCCCTCTACCTCCATATCTCCTTCTCTCTTGTCCTTTACTCTCTCTTTTCTCCTTTTTCCTTCCCTCCACTCTGTGTTCTTCATCTTCAATTCCCAGACTCATCCGAATGCCAGCAAACTGCCCTTGAAGGATGCTTTTACCTTTGACGACTACAGGTTGGTTGATATGTCCTACCATGTTAAAAAAAAGTGGAACTTCTCTTCCCTGCTGAGGTTCAAAAAAAGAAAAGAACAGGAAGACGAGCCGTAGGTTGGTTGTAGGGCTACGCGATGGCCTTTAAAAATGAGGCGTTTGTTCACATTGTTCTTTCATTAGCACCAAATTATCTGTGAAGGAATAATTTATCATTGGTCCCCTTTCATCTTCAGATTGTTGAATATGATGCAAGTCTGTGCTCTCGTTGGGTAATGTGTGAAGAGAATGAAATAGCGTCTTGTCACAGCTAATGTTGTCTTCGGTGGACTTCATGAAGTTTCTTTTAATAAATTACGTCGTCCAGATTATTTAGACTAGATAAGACCTTTTTTTTTTTCTTCAGGACAAATCAGATCTAAGGTAATTTTATTGCCTAATATGCAGACTATTAAAGCAGCTATATTATGTACTTTTTAAAAATATTTTCTCTGAAGTTCACTTGTAATGTAATAAGATAGTTTTATGACCATTTTCCACCCTTGCTTTGGCTTTAAGAATTAAACAGGCCATTTTTACTCTTGTACATTTAATAATTCTAATAAGCAAATGACCCCTGTTTTGATTGGTTAACCTTTTTGCATGAAAAATGAACATCAGAACTGAATGTTTATTTTGTTAGCACACATTACTTGTCTTGTGGTGATCAATTAATCTACAGTAACAAATAAATAAATAAAATGTATCATTTGCTAAACATTCTAGCTAGAGATGGTGAGGGTGGTGATGTAAATGCCATGAAGATTTGAATGACCTGTTTTTGCAGATTAGTGTCTATATACATGTTCTGGGTGGACTGGGAAGGCAATTTTGTTTTGGGTGTACATTAAACTCAAAAAGATTTTAAAAGAGCAAGAGAAATCCTGTTTTCCCCATTATATTTCCCTTTAACATGTTCAGCAGTTTTAGTAGATCAAATGCAAAGACAATACTTTGAAATGACCCAGAAATTATCCATTATTTCAACCAGTTTTGTGTCTGTTACAAATATTGCACCAGTTTTGAATCTGTAATGAAGCAATGACATTTGTATATCAGGTGGGCAGTGTCCTCTGTGATGACCCGTCAGAACCAGATTCCTACAGCAGACGGAAGTCGGGTCACACTGGCCCTCATCCCTCTCTGGGACATGAGCAACCACACCAATGGCCTGGTGAGTTTGCAGCGCTGCTTCAGAATGAACACCGAGCTCCCCATCAAAAATAATTTATGAGTAGCAGAAAGCTTTTGCAACCAATTCAGTTGAACCATTTTTCTATAAATTCCTGCATGACATGGATGTTTACAGTGCTTTCACTTGTATTGCAGTCTTGAAGTACAGGAAAAAAAACACTTACTTTTAAGGAATGCAAGAACATCTAATGTGATTTTTCGGTAGATTATGCCATCATCCCAAGGGATCTTTTATATTTATTTGGATAATTTGTCTTTGATTGCACTTTGTAGCTCTTGCCACAGAGCAATATATCGCCTCTGTTCATATGATTCTGTAATGCACTTATATCCTAAAACGAAGTTTTGTTTCCAATTATCATGTGCATTGAAAATCACGGTCATTAAAATGTGTAATGAAATGGTTTTCTGGTAATCCCATGGTTAAGGTTTAATAAAAACACATTCTATGTGTTCCAGCGGTGTTTTTCGGACAATTTACTCCGTTTATTTGATTTAGTTGATTTCTGAAGATTTTAAGAGATTTAATAGTGAAGGATTGTATTTGCTAGGGTGTGTTATTTTAATAGGTTGACTATAACTTTTAATAAGTGGCGTTTATTTGTTGGATTTGCCCTGTTGTTTTGTTTTATTTATCTTATTCTTACCCACAGAAATATTTCATAAACTAGCCTTGCAGTTGTGATTCCTAAATGTTCATAATTACCCTTTAATGTGGTAATTATATTTTACATGTTATTACATAAAATATTATTACATAATATTACATTTTATGTTCAAGTAGCAAAAAAGTTTGTGCTGACCATTTATGGCTGATGGTCTGATAACAAATGGACTGTGCTAAGGTGTCCAAAATGTTGTAAAATACACCTCAGGAGTATATTAAGTTACTCAAATATGAACAAAACCTGTTCTGTTCTGTTCTGTTCTAGATTACGACTGGCTACAATCTAGAGGATGACCGATGCGAATGTGTGGCTCTCAAAGACTACAAAGAGGGTGAACAGGTGAGACTTACAACACTATCACAGAAGCTCAACCATCTTAAGATCACAATTAGGGTGACCATTAGTCTTTACAGCAGAATATCTCCGACAATATCACGTCTTCCCATGTGATTGACATAATCAGCGTGTGGATTTTCGTGCTCTGTCCACCTAATGCACTTGTACATTTTCCATTTCTATTCGCGCACTTTCACCTCAGTGCTATTGCTGTATGCTTGTGCTTCCGTGATGCATTTATCAGCCAGCGGCCATTATGGAGGCCCGGGGGGTAATATCAGAGTGGAGGCATTCAGATCCAACCATGGGGAGAGCGGATATGCGGGGCACACAGTGACAGGCCAGGTATACACCCCCACCCCCCCCTCCAGAATGTGAATTATTTGATAAGATTTGCAGAGACAGCCAGTGGAAGAAGAAAGAGAGTGCGGGGGCCGGTGTGTGAGACTCGGAAAAACGTTGGGGGGGGGAGTAGGATGGGCCGTTTCTGGAGCGTCGCTCCGTACAGAGCCATTTGATCCCTGATTCCTGCTGCTGATTTCACACTGGGCCGGAACTCAATGTGGAGAGGCTGAGAACAGAATTGAACTGTGCTTTTCTCGCCCCCTCTCTTTCTCTCCAGCACTATGTTTTATCTCTCTCTTTCACACTCTCTTTGCACAGCACTATCTGTAAATGTTGGGGATGTACTGTTGAGCGGAAGACGTGAGCAGTGTTTGAAAGGACAGTAGTATGGGAAGGAAGTTTTCAGGGCTAAATTGCCACTGATTAATATCACATCCGTTCCCATAGACCTGTGCATCCATGAGTCCATGAAATGAAGGGCAGTGCTTATACTCATTTATGTGTTACTGTAGTAATGTGTCGTAGTTATGCCATAACTATAAAACTTATAAAAGTTTTCCGGTTTCTCTCCCCTCAGATCTACATATTCTATGGTACAAGATCCAATGCAGAGTTTGTGATCCACAATGGTTTCTTCTTTGAGGACAACGCACACGACCGCGTGAAGATTAAGCTGGGTGTGAGCAAGAGCGAACGTTTGTATGCCATGAAGGCCGAGGTTCTGGCTCGTGCTGGGATTCCTGCGTGAGTATCCTGTACAGGAATGACAAACCACATGATGCACGTTGAGTCAGATGTTTGTTTTTCTTTTGTAGCTTTTCTTTTTTTTTCCCATTATTTCTGTAGTGTTCAGTCTAGTTTTAATTCCATGAAAACCCATTAGACCTCATAATTGTACCTCATTCTCTTTATTTTTTGCTGATAATAATTCTGACAATGAGCCGCTCTTCATAGCACTACTTGAGCTACAATGCCCTCAAGAATTATTTGCTTTAGATGAGCCATGAAAAAGTGTCATCATATGATTATAACTAAGTGAATAGGAAATTTGAATAGCCACTTAAAGACAAAAATTGGCTAATAACTTTACTTGGAGAACTGCTATATGATTAAAAAAAAAGAAATAATAATAATAATTTTTTTTTTTTAATCTTTTTTTATTATAACTATTTTTAGTATTATTATTAATTGATAATGACATCGATTTTATTTATTTATTTGGTATTATTTAGGTGTGTTTTTCTAGAGGGTGGCAGTAATTCTGGAGGGGAGTTTACATGTAATTTTTTTTCCCATAAAATTTTTTTTTTTTTCTTTTCTTTCTGTAGCTGTAATCTTTAATGTGTAAGGTTTTCTCATGTTAACATCCCTTTCAATCCCCCCTGTAGAGTCATACTGCTGCAGGAATCATCATCCAGGTGTAACAGAATTACAGTGCTGTAAAACCTCTTTTGTGGCATAATACTATCAGTGAATTTTCTGTCACACAGATCAATATCCTTTAAGTCTCCAAAACAAAATCCACACAGGCCCATATGAAATTACCCTTTGATTCAGGTCATAGCCGAGATGCTCCTTTTCATCCCACTGTAAGGCAGACAGGAAGAGGCCATATATATTCTCCAGTAATTAAACGGTAAATTATAAATGATTGAGCGTGTTTTTAAAAATGCATCAAGTTCAGTGGCCTCTCATCGCTTCAGATCAATCAGTTGTCATGCGACGGGGAGCAGCGCCGTGGTCTCGTGCAGGCAGGAGGCTTCCATTAGCACCTGCCGGTTCCGCTGGAGTTAATTGGGGTTTAATTTGAGAGAGGTGGGGGGGGAAGTCAGTTGAAGTAACACCCTGCTTTGAACCCTCTCCGGTTCTTCTGCTCCTCAGGTCCAGTATCTTTGCCCTGCACTGCAGCGAGCCGCCCATATCGGCTCAGCTCCTGGCCTTCCTGCGTGTCTTCTGCATGACTGAAGGTAAGAATCGTTGTTTGTCCCGATGCCTTCACGTCTGGCACTAAGGTACCTGTGGGCCATAAAACAGGAAATGAGATGCCGTATTTCATATCACATTCTTACATTAAACTAGTCAGGACAACAAAGCCTAAACAAGTGTCCCTCGGGTGTCTAATTGATCAAGACAGTGCGGCAGATGTGTGGAAGGACTGATCCAGAGTCAGTGAAATATTAATAAGCATCTATGTAGGAGAAGTTTTTGTCATAAATCCCATAAAGCAAGGCCATGTCCTCTGGCAAGACCTCTTAAGTCTGAGCTGATACATTATTCAGAATTTTAATGTTAATTTTTAAACGAAGCGAAGCCCCTGTGCTGGGGGCTTCTATTTTACTAGTGTGACAGGATTCAGCGGTGTGCACGAGCAAAGCACTCGTTCGGCAAGCCCTTTCATCTCGTTAGCAGCCGTGTAATCATACCTTACATAATCGCCGCAGATCAGACCTGCCGGCTCACTAGCACGGCAGATTACTCCCTTAACCAGAGAGGTGTGCGTTTCTGATTGCAGAGGAACTCAGGGACTACCTGGTGGGCGATCACGCCATCAACAAGATCTTCACCCTGGGCAACACTGAAATCCCTGTCAGCTGGGAGAACGAAATCAAGCTGTGGACGTTCCTGGAAACACGGGCTGCGCTGCTTCTCAAAACATACAAGACGTCCTCAGAGGTGCTGGAAGAATGGCAAACAATCTTTGAACTTTCACACAGATTTTATAAAACATCTTTAAATAGTTTAAAAAGTTTAGTTGCATAGAGAACAAAGGTAGAAACATTCTTCTATTTGCTGCTCGAGAAATATTTCTTAACATATTTTTGGGTTTTTTTCAGGATTCTTTGACAATTAAAGTTCAAAAGAACAGCATGTATTTGAAAAAGAACATAAATGTATTTACTTTTGATCAATTTAATGAGTCCTTACTGAATAACATCTAATACATATGTACAAATGCGCACACACACATTTACTTAGCTATCTAAATGAGGACAATGCATAGACTTCTATTGTTTTTACATATAGTTAAACATTTTATAACTTTACCATAACCCTAACAAAAGAGTCCTGCTTTTTTTTCTGTGAATACAAAATATGCTATATAGTTTTGTACATAGCGTCAAACCAGAAATTATTCAGACACCAGATACAATTTTTGATATTTTTTTACTAGTGGGTGCAGGACACTTTAGTTCATTTATGTAAGTGAGGATAGCAAAATAAAGGAAACTGACATATTATACCCAAAAATTCTTCATAGAGTGGACTACCAGTAAAATTGATACAAATTTGGGACCAAAAATTATTCAGACACTTTGAACTGACCATGTTTTGCTTAAGTGTTTTTCTTTCATTGGTAATGCAACCTTTTTACACCACAGACTGAACTAAATGAAGCATTGCTTGGTAATTGGTATTATATAATTGTGTACTTAAATTTAACAGCTGACAGCTATTCAGCCTAATTCATTACATAACTTTCTATCAAAGTTATCTGACATTAGCAAGATTAATTTGTTCTGACACAGTTTAACTCTAAACTCTTGTCATATTTTATTACCATTTTCTAAACTATAGTGAATAAACTGTGATAATGTGAGAAATGTTATAATAGTGTGTGAATACATTTTGGTTTGACTATACACACACACACACACACACAAATTTTGTCAAACGATTAATCCGTGATTAATCGCATCCAAAATAAGTGTTTTTTTTACATAATATATGTGTGTGTACTGTGTACACTCTCATACAGTATATATTTTGAAAATATTTACATGTATATATTTATAGAATATATATTGTATATAAATTATTTAATATACAAATATAAAATTTTTCTTAAATATATACATGCATGTGTGTGTATTTTTATACATAATAAATATACACAGTACACACGTATTTAAACAAAAACTTATTTTGGATGCGATTTAATCGTTTGACAGCACTAAATATGTGTATGAATAGAACAATATAGCATATTCTGCATTCATGCATATTATATTTGTGCATGCACACTTTTCGTATTTGCTTTTTGTTCAAAAGAAAACATTGAGCCAAAATGTGGAATGACTTTTCTGTCAATTTAGAATGAAACTTTCTGTTTCTTACAACAGTAACTGCAGATAGTTTTGTCATAAACTGATTTTGTAATCAAGCCATTTTGTTTCCGATTGGTTAACAATAATGATCATGTTAACCAATCGTTATTGGTTTAAGATCTCTGTTGTTGTCATGTTCAGGAGGACCGCTCCATGCTGGAGAAGCCTGACCTGTCCCTGCACTCCCGCATTGCTATAAAGCTACGGCTGGCGGAGAAAGAGATTTTGGAGCGCGCTGTGTCCTGCTGTCGGGCCAAGCGCCTGCACTTCCAGAAACAGCTGGACGAAGGGACCCCGCTGCCACTGTACGAAGAAAGCGACATCGCCCTTTTGGAGAACGCAGATGCTAAACTCCCCATAATCCTGCGCAAACTGGAAGAAGAAGACGAGAGTGTTCAGGAGGAGATGAACCTGGCTCAAATCAAGCCGGACGCTGCCTGCGTGGACTCCTCCAAGACGCCCGTTCTTAACAGCCAGTGTAAAGATCTCAATGGTACTCAAGAGGATCCTCCAGGAGGTGATGCGGTGGTGAAAGAGAGTAAGGTTGAGAAGCACGACCCGAGTACCAAACGAACTGAAGGTGAACCAAAAGATGGCGGCAAGTAGTCATAACCAGCGCACGGTGGCAATCTTAGTTCCTGCTATTTATTTATTTTCGTTTAAGAGACTCACAAATAGGAGCAAAAGCTTTCTAAACTAAAGCAGTGGATTTCAGTTTAAACGTTTTTTTTTTATTATTATTATTAAATGCAGCTTAAGTATGAGCTAGCTCAAGCTATAAGAAGCCTGTTGTTTGTTTTGATTTTGTTTTGTTGGAGATTTTATCAGTGCCACATTTGGTTTCTTTTGTAGTAGCTTCGCTCGTCCTGCCAGTAAAAGGTGGTAGCAAGGTGAGGAAGTAGCCAATCATATAGACTCCCATCTAGATGAAGGCTTTCTCGGACTTCACAAAATGAAAGAAAAAAATATATATCAGACTTTAACATGGTAACGTTGCCAAGGATGTTTCTGTTTACTCGTCTAAAATGCTGACTGGGAATTTGACTTCTCTTTAACCAGCCGTTGCTGTAGATCATGCCAGAAACGCGCTTGACGTTTAGTGCTGCTTGACAATCATTACTCTTATGTTCTGACATCGATCAGTAAAGAGTTCATAACTGCCTCGCTGCACGCTAGTTACTCTACTCGCATAAAAAGTAAGGTTACTGAAAGACGTCAGTCCCAAAAAAAAGTATATATTTTCATGCACTTCAGAGAACAGTCAGTGCATTCTCAAAGTGAGCATTATTTTTGGTTTTGAACCAGAGGATAAGAGGTTGTTGGTGACCATGTGGTTACTTTTTGCTCTGAATGTAATTCAAGGTTTGTGTGTTAAAGCCATTCACTCTTCATTGTTCTTCATATATATTCGTTTTAATCCTTCTGTGCTTATGAAACACTTTGCAGTGACTAACTTCTCTCATACAGTACGTGATCTTTGGGAAATCTATTTTTGTTTTCCTTATTTTTATGCAAGTATTCACTGCAACACCAAAATGATCTCTCGCATTTGTCATGCAACTGTTGTGGTCATCTTTAAGCCTTAACGAATGGCATTTAGTTGGATTCCAGATACAGAAACATTGATCCAGGATGAAGATGTGCATCACCCACAAGGCAAAACTCTGTTCCTGTCAGCTTTTAAATAACAAAACATTGGGGGCTATTAATTAAAGAAATATTTCACCCAAACATGAGAAATCTACCATTATTCACTCACCCGAATGTTGTTGCAGATCTGTCTATTGTTATTTATTTATTGAGCACTGTATTCTAAGTCTTTTAAAAGCTATATGATGCAGTTTGGTCAGTTATTTACCCAAAGCTAAGCAATTATTTACTGATAATCTTGCATCTCTTCCTCATATGAAGCTATCATATGGCTTCGGAAGACTTTGAATATAGATTTTTTTTTTTAAAGCTTTTCAGCACAGCTTTTTAACATAATATATAGGATATAATATGAGGGTAAGTAAATAATTACAATTTTTGTGTGAAATAATTATTAAATTATAGAGCAGTGTTCCTCTACCCAGTCACATGAGCCATCAGAAATGACTTGGGTTTTTGAGAAATTAATCAAAATATCAGAATATGCCCCCAATGTTTTGTTATCCTTTTGAAGTTGTGTACATGGCAATGGAATACAGAAATGGAAATGACATTTCAGTTCAAGTGTTCTGCCCAACTAAACAGCACTGTTCAATAATATACTGTTCAGAATGGTTTATGATGTTGAAAGATGATGATTGTATGGAAGTCTGTCACTTGTTCTTGCTGCTTCTGTATATAGATTTATAGCTTTGGAAAGCTATCAGCTTTAATACACTTATTCTCAAATCTTTAATGTGATCTAGCCATAAAGAAAATACACAGTGGATTGCACTGACTCCCAGTGCGTCAGTACAACTGTGTAGGTAAGAGCCATTAGAGTCTGTCTACAATGACAAGTTCAAGATTAAAGTTCTGTGCATTTTTCACCTGAGTCAAATAAGGTGGAGTGCTTTTCTTCAAATCTTTGACCTGTCTATCTGTCTTTAAGAGGGCCTTTTTTTAAAATCCCCATTAGGAGACGTAAGGGCACTCGTCCATTGTCCTTTCATTCTTCGTTTCATTTGCAGGGAGGAAAAAAAGAGAAGGTTTTATTTAATGTATTTTTTCATTCTTTGCCCCCCAAGCCCCATTACAAATTTATAAAAGAAACATTATCTTGAATCATTTAATTCGGGGCAATTAAATTTTGAAATTCCACATTCATTATTCATGGGCTTCAAGATAAAACCCCTTTAATCCTTGAATAGATTATTATAATGGGCGATAGTGTGGGCAGTGGTAAACTCGGGCAGCCCTGCACATGTCCGGTATTGTTAGTATTCCTCATGTCAGGGTTGAGAGCAGGAGTGCATGGAGCTCCCTTTGGCCTGGGACCGTGCCACCAAAGTAATTCTGCCTATGAATAATACACAGCGCTTCTATTAATATAGAATGCCGTCAGGCGGAGAACCCATTGTCATGCAAGTATTTACCAATACATGTGCCGTACTTGAGAGAGGGGGGCTGTCTTCGAAGGTTGAGGGGTCACATTTCCATGCACGTTAAGTGGTCGAGTTCCCATCCACTGCGCTCTTAGAAATAAATGTTCCATAAAGGGATTTTCAGCTCGCTGCCATACAAGTTGTATGGGTCTTTAGAAAACCATCTACAATGAGATCCAGAATCTGAGACTGCTAGTGGAAGTCGCTTTTGCATTCTAACAAAATTTGCATAGGTGAATTACGTTGAAATAAACTTACGAATGTATTTGGTTTGTCTCTCATTTTGCTTTAACGACAGCAACACTCGAGCTGCATTAACTCCTCAAGTTTGTGTAAAGCCAGATGCTAATGTTCTCCATTATTTAAAAATGATCTAAAGAGCATTTTGTGCTTCAATGGAAGCAAGAAGAACTGATTGTCTATACAAAGAGTCACGATCAATGATAAAGCAATAGTGCAAAATATTCTGTAATTTTATGTGATTTTTACTTTCTTTAAAACTATATTTCCAGGTATAAATGCTAAAAAGCGGCCTCAGACATTTGGACCCCGCTGGTGCTTCGAAGAACCCAAGAGTGCTTCAGTTATTCAATGAGACCTAGAATAACGCAAATGTAACTATAATGTCAAAAAAAAAAACTTTAAATCCCCGAAATATCCATATAGCAACTCAACAACCCATATTCAGCAAAAATTGTTTTTGAGAAGAAGGAGGTTCTTTGTGTTGTAGGTCTTGAATCCATCCTGTAATATATTCATGGTCTTGATTTTGACTCCGAGTTAAAACTGTCCAACTTAACATACTCGGGGTCTTGAAATGTAATGGAGCGGATCTCCATTACAACACTGTCTTCTAACAACCAGTGAACCTTTTATTTTTAAGAATGAGGGTAAAAGATGCCCCTTCGTAGTTTTAAATTCTGTCTTATGCCTCAGAGTCAGCACTTAATGCAAAGTGGGAAAGTTGTCTTGTGAATGCTTTCTGCTTGTAGTCAGATCTGTCTTTTAAGCTACTCAGGTCTTCTAATGCTGAACCAGTGTCTGGCCTTGTTACTCTTGAGAAGAGCAGCTCTGCAGTTCACACAGTGTCTGCCTTGAATCGAGGGTTATTGGTATCTTGTACTTTTCTACCCGTGGGAAGACCCTCTTGTTTGTATTTTAAGTGCTAAGCTACCTCTGCAAACAGTTTGGTATGTGAGACATTAGGTGGTCGGAAACGGTCTCCAGTTGAGGCAAAGGCCGCGCAGGTGAAAGAAAGCAATTTTGTTCTTGTATGAGAATACTTCAGCATGCATGACTTCCGGTCTGTGGTTTCTCAGCTTGGGCTTAGTTAAAATGACACATGGCTAGAAAGTGTTAACGGTCATATTTATAAAGTGCCCTTGAACAATCATCACAGAGAAACTGTCTTGTGTTCTCCCACCCTTTAAAGTGATCACTGTTACGTTTTTTTTTTTTTTCGTTTTCTTCTGAAGTGTAACTTCATGTAGTAGCTGCGGCTTCCTCTGACCACGCTACCCTTTGTATGTCAAACAAGTGAGTGTATATATATGAGGGTTTTAGGAGGGCAGTGTTTATATTGTCTTAGTAATTTTTATAGACGCAGTTCAATTAAAATGGCTAATGTCTGTTGCCCCCCAGAAAGACATCTACCTACTTTGAAGTACGAGCTTTGTTTTTCAAGTGTCCACACTCTATGCTGTGTATTACAGGCCATTTCAGAAATAAGGGTGACAGCTTTAAAGTCAACATGAAACTATGTTCGCAAAAGCAGTTGGGAAAGGACTTGATTTTATCTATTGGGAATTGATTGGCTTGTGAAGTGTTTTTTTGTTTGTTTGTTTTGTTTTTTTGGGACACATTGAATAATAAGAAGACTGGGTGATTTTAGAAGAAAAGGAAAGTATTTTTGGAGCTAAAGCAAGTTTTTGCATTATGATAAAAAACAAAACAAAAACTAAGCTCACTAATAAATAGTTCACAGTTAGAACAGAATGTATATTAAAGTCACCATGAAATAAAAATTGGCATTTTTTAAATGAAATTTTGCAGTGTTTATTATAATGTATTTTTAATTATATATATATATATATATATATATATATATATAT